CTGCCTTGTTCCTGCGCGCTTGCTGGCTCACCAGGACTTTCTTCCTGCTTGGCCTTCCTCAGGCCCCTCTTCTCCTGGAAGAGGCTGGAAGACACTGCCTGAAACTTGTATTTGGCCCCTAACGACTGTTAGAATTGGATTTCCCCCGAAGCATGCAATGTTTCAACTTTAACGCCTCAACAGTTGGTGAAGTAATGGTTGAAATATTAAGGGTGATGCCCAATTGTACCACTATGGTATTAGAAGTGGCTGGGTTTGATTAGACTACGGGGTGGAGCCCATGGCTGACTCAGACTAGCACCCTAAGGAGGTGCATGTAGGGAGTACCCCTGGGTTTGGGATGGGATTGCCCCTGTCCCATCATCCTCCAGGCCTCACCGGTTGCCTTAAGCAAAGAGGCCTCCTGACTGTGGGCTGTAAACTTCCAAATTGTAAGCCAAAACAGACCTCCCTCTTTCCAAATAGATCCACTCTGCTATTTTAGTGAAATTCCTAAAAAGTAATAATGTGTTCTTAAACTTTGGCTGGGGAGTGGGAGAGATTGCTAAATTGGTTAATCTTCTGCCTACAAGTGCCGCCATCCCATATGGGTACCAAGTGCTGTCCTAGCTGCTCCATTTTCCATCCAGCTCCCTGCTTGAGGCCCAGGAAAGAAGGGAGGATGGCCCAAGTTCTTGGGACCCTGAATCTGACCTGGAACAAGTTCTGGGCTCCCAGCTTCAGATCAGCTCAGTTCTGGCCACTGCGGCCATTTGGGGAGTGATGTCTGTGAGTCTGCCTTTCCAACAAAAAATAATAAATCTTAAACAAGCAAGCAACTTTGGCTGGAATGCTAAATCCTGGACCCATTAACTCCATTTTCCCATAAGTATTGTGATGTCACCGTTGATCACTTTATTTGGAGCTGAGGTAACCAGGCAACCCTAAGCCATGTTCAGAATCTCCACAGAAAGAGCTTTGAAACGGTGGGGGAAATTCAGAAAGGACAGAGCATGAATCTGGGTAAGATGATGGTCTCCTACCCCACACAGGGGTTTCAAGCTGACCCGGTACTTCCCACTTCCTTGAGCTTTGTGGAACCGAAATTCTCCCCAGCAGCCGGCTGAAGACGTACATTTGTAGAGTTTTCTCTCTTCCAACTCGAGCTGTGGTTGTGGGGATGTAATTATCCAAAACCCGCAGATATTCCTCTGACTCGTGGGACCTGTCTTGATCTTCCTAACAGGAAGTGGACTGGAAGAAGGCAGGTGGCTGTGGGAACCAGGTCGGTTCCTCCAACAGGCACCGCACCCTTTGTCTAACAAGTCCTGTCTTCCAGGCCTCTTGCTGATGCATACTGTGGACAGCAGAGGTGTGTGCTCATTCTCTGCCCCTTCCTCACGTGAGTTCAAAACACTGTTGGGCCTGGTGCAATAGGCTAGTGGCTAAAATCCTTGCCCTGCATGCCCAGGCTCCAAATCCCAGCTGCTCCACTTCCTGTCCAACTCCCTATTTTGGCCTGGGAAAGTAGTTGAGGATGGCCCAAGCCCTTGGAACTCTGCACCAATGTGGGAGACCCAGAAGAAGCTCCTGGATTCAGATTAGGTTAGTTCCGGCCGTTGCAGCCACTTAAGGAGTGAACCAGCAGACAAAAGATCTTTCTATAAAAATACTAAAAATTAAAAAAAAAAAAAAGAAAACACTTCAATCCTGGGAGGAAAAAAAATATATACTACTGAGCAGTTGCGAAGGAAGCTTGTATGGAGTGGGACAGGAATGGAAAAGGGGGGAAACAAGAAATGGAAAACAGACAAGCAATGTCATCTTGGCTACATGGAAGCCCAGGAGAAAATGGACATGAATGAATCATGGTGTTCCAGAAGAGTCTGAAACATGGAGAGGCAGTGACTCAGGAAAGGCAAGGTGTAAAAATCTCAAACATAGGTGCTGCTGGGGTTTCAGGTGGGGTTGGCTTCCTAAAAATGACACCTGTGTATCTGGCACTGGATCCTTCCGAAGGTTCTTCAGAAGGGAGCTGGAGAGCGGGCAGATGCAAGGGGCCAGGGTGAGCAGGTTTGGCGGATTAGGTCACAGGATGTGTGTGTAAGATCCTCTTTCACAGGCTCTGCAGAAGATGCAGGGCCAGAACAGCGGGAATGAGATATGACACCATGGGGCAGCATGCAGGACGGCCAAGGAATTGGCCTTGCAACCTGAAGGTCGTTAGGTACTAATGGAATTTCTATGCTACAAGTTGTCCAAGTGGAAATACCCAAAGTGGAAGTGTTGCAGGTTCTGAATCCTGGGGTAGCAAGGTTTGTCATCAGAAGGCCACTGCTCACAGACTGGCCCTCAATGCACTTGCTGCTGTCTGGGCACCCCAGTGGCCCCCAGACCCTTCCTGCTGTGGCCTGTGAAGCCAGGGCCCCGCTCCTCTCTGCCTGTGATGGTGCGGCCCCAGGCAGCGCTGGCCTCACCCCTGTAGTTCCGTGCATTTCTGGACACAGGCAGGCTGTTGCTTTCTGGGAGCTCTTCAAAATCACTGCTGTTCATTTGATTTCTTTAAGATTTATTTTTATTGGAAAGTCAGATTTACAGAAAGGAGACACAGACACATCCTCCATCTGCTGGTTCACTGCCCCGGTGGCCACAAACGGCTGGAGCTGAGCCAGAGCCAGGAGCTTCTCCCGGATCTCCCACTCTGGTACAGTATCCCAGCCATCCTCTACTGTCCCCCAGGCTACAAACAGGGAAGCAGAGCAGCTGCGACACAAACCAGTGCCCATAACCGATCCCGGCATTGCAAGGCAAAGACTTTAGCTACTAGGCTAGCACACTGGGTCTCATCTGGTTTCCTGACAGCTCCATATGGTACATGGCCTGAGGTGTTTTCTTGCACACCTTAGCTCATGGAGCGCCCTCTCAGAACAAGCAACGGGAACCTTAAATGGCTGTATCACACTACCCAGTCTCTGTCCCCGTCACTGTCCTTCTGGCAGGTAGATTTTCTATGGTCACTTAATGTCACCTGAGGTTAGGTGGCTCTCACCACATTCAGCACATTTACCATGTTCCACTGGCGACAGGGTATGGACAGCTCCAATTATTCTATCAGTACGTTCCTTCTGGACCGAGAGGTTCCTATCTGCTTGCCCTGAACACAAAAGATTCATCCTGCAAGAGATACCCCACATCTTCTCATCGCCTACAGTATGAGCCCAAACCCAAAATCACATCCAAGTCTCAGCTAAATTATCTCAATCAGGCTTGGGTGAAGCAGCAAGTAGCTTCTATCCTGGAGCAAAATTTCCATCTGTGGCCCATAAATTCAGAAAATCCATTCCGGTCTCCCAAAACACATAGGTCACATAGGTGTAGAACCAAAGTTCTAAGAGTGTAATTCAAAGGTAATGGAAAATGGAATTAAAAGACACTTATTTCGGGGCAATTTTACATTTATGCACTTCTTTCGCTGTACGCGTTTCCCATGTACTTTCTGAACACCTTCGTATAGACATAGCTTCAAGGGTCAGAAAGGGGGAGAAAAGGAAAACGAGGCAGCAGGTTCCCCCCAGTTTTGAAAACCACTTGGCTAATCCATTAAAGGTCGAGGCCTGTTATATTCTCAGGGTTTGCAATCATTCATTTCTCAGTTTTACATGTACAGAATCGTGAAAGCCCTACACTTTCAGAGTCTCTCTTTAGATTATGGTGACAACCTCTCCCAGCTCAGAACTTCCAGAAACTGAGTGTCTGGTATATGAGTGACTGACACTTTTAGACAGCTAGTCCCTGCTGCTTCAATCCTGCCTATTTGTTCTACTCCTTTAAAAAATTTATTTATTTATTAATGTTATTTAGTTGATTAGGGTACAAAGGGTCAAGGGCTACAGGAAAGTGGGTAAGACCATTGTTTCCACACTAATATCATCATTTTCCCCCTGCATTTATTTTACTTTTATTGCAAAGTCAGATATATATATATATATATATATATATATACAACAGAGGAGGAGAAACACAAATATCTTGTTTGATGATTCATCTCCCAAGTGACCGCAACGGCCGGTGCTGTGCCAAACCGAAGCCAGGAGCCAGGAGCTCTTCCGGGTCTCCCACGTGGGTGCAGGGTCCCAAGCTTTGGGCCGTCTGTGACTGCTTTCCCAGGCCACAAGCAGGGAGCTGGATGGCAAATGGGGCTGCAGGGATACAAACCAGCACCCACATGGGATCCCGGTGCGTTCATGACGAGCACTTTAGCTGCTAGGCCATGGCACCAGGCCCTTGTCCTACTCCTGTACCCATTGTTAGTCTCTGCTCAGATGACTGAGGGATTCCTTTAGACAGCCATACTCCCAGGTTGTACCGAGGGGACCTCAGTGCAACTACTCTCTGAATACTCCGATATTCTAGGTCTCCCACATGCGTGCAGGGTCTCAAGACTTTGGACCACCCTCTACTGTTTTCCCAGGCCCAAGCAGGGGGTTAGATGGGAAGCAGAGCACCAGCATATGAACTGGTGCCCATATGGGATTCCAGCGTGTGCAAGGCAAGGATTTAACTACCAGGCTACCACAGCATGCCTAACCACAGTGTTTAAAAGGTGCTTCCCAACCCCAATCATTCACACTCTGATCAATTACATTCCCTCCTGGACACTTTCACCAACGACTCAACTTGGAGTCTGTCCTCCAGGAGCTACAGCCACTCAGTGGGTCCTGAGGACAGTGTCCCCTCAGAAACAGTGGGAAATGTAAGACATATCCTGACAAGACACGCAACCCATGCATACTGTAGATTTCTCACAGCATCCCCATCTGCAAGGTGACATACGGGCCCACGAATAACTCCAATCCAGGTAAATCGGGCCCAAAATGATCTGAAATCTTACCTATGAAACTAAGACGTCAGCATCGGAGGTAAAAGAAGTGGATAACTCTCCCAACCCCTTGTGCCCTCTGAGCACATGAACTTGGGAGGTCCCCCAAGGCTATTTTTCATTCTGACAGAGCCCAGTTCTGTTTGAATCATTCCTGCAAAAAGAGCCCCAAAGACTCAACGTGCCTTATTAAGGCCTTTATTATTACAAATCAGCAGTATAAGGCATGTGCTTTTCCACTAGGTGACCTGGAGGCTGGAAGTGAGAAAGGACCGCTCTGCAGACTTCCAGCGGAACACAGCTCAGGGCCTCTTGGCTGAAGATGGGTCATTTCCACCTACAGTCAGGGAGGATAGAATGAGGACATCCATTGAACTCAAGTGTCTCATGATTCCTTCTAAGTGCCGGAAAGAAAACAGTCTCCCCTACCCAGTGACCAAGCCGTTCCAGTTAAATTGGCTTCAGCCACAGATATTTACAGCAATATTACTTGAGTAAGGAACCCAAGGTGAGAAAGCACAGTATGAGCCCTGAAGGCTTTCCATGTACCTGGTGCAAGGACATGCACATACACGGCGATTCGCACCTGACACGTGTCCTGCTATACTGAAAACACTCCTAAAGCCTTCCTGCAGTATGAATTTTCTGGTGCCGAACTAGGTGGGAGCTTAAGCTGTAAGCCTTCCCACATTCGCTACACTCATACGGCTTTTCCCCAGTGTGGACTCTCTGATGCCGAACAAGGTGGGAGGTTCTAATGAAGTCTTTCCCACATTTACTGCACACAAAAGGCCTTTCCCCAGTGTGAACTCTCTGATGTGCAAGGAAGTCAGAGCTCCTGCTAAAGAATTTCCCACAATCAACGCATTCAAAAGGCTTTGTCTCAGAGTGAATCCTCTGATGCTTAATGAGAGTGTATCTGTGGCCAAAGGACTTCCCACATCCACTGCAAACATAAGGATTTTCTCCAGTGTGGATGCTCTCATGCTGAACAAGCGTGGATTTGTGTCTGAAGACTTTCCCACACTCACTGCACTTGTAAGGCCGTGCTCCATTGTGGACTCTCTGGTGTACAATTAAATTGGAGTGATGGCTAAAATACTTCCCACATTCACCACACTTGTAAGGCATTTCTCCAGTATGGATTCTCTTGTGTTGAGCAAGGTTGTCCTTGCGACTGAAGGCTTTTCCACACTCAGTGCACTCGTAAGGCCTCTCCCCAGTGTGGACCCTGTGGTGCTGGACAAGCGTGGCTTTGCGGCTGAAGGCCTTCCCGCAGTCTCCACACTCATAAGGCTTTTCTCCACTATGTGTCCTCTGGTGCTGGGTCAGCGTGTCCTTGCGGCTGAAAGCTTTCCCACATTCACTGCACTGGTAACGCATCTGGCCGATACCAAAGCCCCCCCCACTCTTGGTGTGCCTGGAGGTATTCCACTTCCGACGGGTAGCCTTTTGCTGCTGACCACTCAGAGAAGCTTGGAACTTCCGCTCCTGCCCACATGCAAAAGGTTCCTCTGATAAGAGAGGTTCTTCACCAACTCTGCCATCCTTTAAAAAGAGGACCTTGCCTTCACCCCTCCGCAAACACTTCTTCGCACTATAATGCTGCTGGGACTGGTCAAAGTTTGCACTGAACAAGAACCGCCTGCCACATTCCTCACATACGGAAGCTCTCGGCTTGTGCTGTGTTTCTTGTTCATCCAGGCATAAAATATAATTTAAGACAGGGCCACATAAATCGCAAGGGTGAGCCGCAGGGACAGATGAACCTGTCTTGGAAGAACTAACATGTGCTTCTTGTACAGAAATGCTCTGTTGAGAGAATGCCGCCTCATCCTTCACTTCATGTCGACAACCTGAAAGCAGAAAATACATGTGCATGCTTCATCTGGCGACAGGGAGACAGGCCTGTAAAAGCACGGCGTGCCTAGTACATCCAGAGCTATGCACAGGCTGCAGGCACAACAGGGCGAGTGGCAGGCTGAAGAGAGGTTTGTACAGCAGTGGAGCGAAAGGTCAGAGCATGAAGAGTGCCTCATGCTGGACAAAGGGCATGGAGGTTAACTTAATCTGTGAATGACTTTAACCAGGACCTTGGGTGGCTGTTGGCAACAGGTGAGTTCTTGGCAGAAACGCATATCCAGGCCCAGGGAAATATGACCAAAACTAAGTAATTTGTGTTCAAGCACTATTCAAAAATATGAGCATGGACAAGGGGCAGTAGCCTAGTGGCTAAAGTTCTTGCCTTGAATGCACAGGGATCCCATGTGGGCACTAATTTGTGTCCTGGCTGCTCCACTTCCCTTCCAGGTCCCTGCTTGTGGCCTGGGAAAGCAGTCGAGGACGGCCCAAAGCTTTGGGACCCTGCACCCGTGTGGAGACCTGGAGGAAGTTCCTGGCTCCTGGCTTTGGATAAGCTCAGCGCCAGCTGTTGCAGCCACTTAGGGAGTGAACCAGCAGATGGAACATCTCTGCCTCTGTTTCTCTCTATAAATCTTTCCAATAAAAGTAAATAAATCTTAAATACACACACACACACACGCACACACACACACACACACACACACGAGCTCAGGAAGCCTGGAGCTGCGGCACAGTGGGAAGCTGCTGATTTGAGCCTGGCCTGCATTTAACTGCTGCAGGTTTTTGGTGGTTTTTTTTAAGATTTATTTTTATTGGAAAGTCAGATATATAGAGAAGAGGAGACAGAGAGGAAGATCTTCCGTCCGCTGATTCACTCCCCAAGTGACCGCAATGGCCGGTACTGCACCAATCCGAAGCCAGGAGCCAGGAGCTTATCCTATGTCTCCCATGTGGGTGCAGGGTCCCATGGCTTTGGGCCGTCCTCGACTGCTTTCCCAGGGCACAGGCAGGGAGCTGGATGGGAAGCAGGGCTACGGGATACAAACCAGTGCCCATATGGAATCCAGGTGCGTGCAAGGTGAGGATTTTAAGGCTACTGTGCCAGGCCCAACTCTTTCAAATAAATAAATAATCTTGAGGATCTTTCTCTCACACACGCCTCTTTTTATAGGACTACCTTTCCAACAAAAATAAATCTTCGGGGGAAAAACAGTCCTGAAATACGTGCACATCTCACTGCTGTCAATACTGGAACATCGTAGAGGCAGCCGCAGAGACGTCTAGCAGAAAGTGGCACTGTAAGTCAGAACTAAACGAGGATGCTCAGAAGGACGGCCAACACAGGAAGACAGAAATAAGGTTTGGCCTTGGCATCAATCAGTGACAGACACAAAACAGGTTTCTGGTCTGAACAGAAGCCCCAAATTCCCACTTTCTCCCAGTGCCCACTCACCGTGGCCTGTCCAAGCCCCTCCTGCAGTGGCAAGAGTCATGCCCTCTCGGTCAGGCACCTAGAGTTCTTGCTACCATTCAGCGGTGACAGAGAACCTGGAAGACAAAAATCACACGACAAGTATGGACAGGTGTCATGTGAAAACACTAAATCAAAGCAGCGAGCCACTAGGCACTGTTTGCAGGAGCAGCTGAATGAGTGTTCCAAGGAGTGACCACATTGAAATACATGATACAGGGAAGCCCAAGAGCCCGGTAAACACAGGAATTCCAGAGTTGTCAGAAATGTGGCTCGCATCACCTGGCTGGGGACAGGCCGAGCAGGATAACCTTGTGGTGCTGAACCCACAGGCCGTCTTGGCAAGCCTTCACAGGTTAGTGGGTGTCGGTGAGCAGAAGGAGTGGGGGAGGCAGAGCCTTGGTACCCAGAGCAATCTCACAGGGGACTCTGGGGAAACAGCAGCGTCCAGGATCCCACTACAAAAAGCAACTCTCCGATGCAAAAGAGGGAAAAGCAGAGTCCAGCCCAGAAAACCAAACTGTGTCTGCTCTTGAGAGACAGTTCAAAGCAGAGAAAGCACCGCACTGTGGTAAGACCCCCTGAGCCTCTCCGAGAAGCCCCCAGTGCTCCCCAGAGCAGGACACAAACCTGTGCCCCACGGCCCTGGGTAACAGCGCAGAGGCACGCGCTCTCCAGGAATTCCTTACAGACCACACACACCTCCTCTCCAGTTCCCCAGCTGGCAGGAGCTACTGGGTCCTGGAGCTATTCCTGCAGCTCTCTGTCCATCCTGGAGTAACAAGCAGCAGAGAGAGAGTTACCATACAACCTGGTCTCACATATGGGACTCAAACTTTCTCGTCTACGTCAGCTCTTCTGGGGATCTGCACTTCACACTCTCCTCTCCCAATCTTTTAAACCTGTTACAACTTCTGAAAGGCAAAGCATCTGCATATATGTATGAGAGAAACAAAGAATTCTACATCCACTGGCTCACTCCTCAAATGATTCAAAGAGCCAAAGCTGGACCCAGGAGTCTAGAACACATGGGTAGCATGGGCCCCAAGAAATGGAAACAGGAAGTGGATCAACAGCACAATAACTAGGAATTGTCAGGTACCCAGAGTTACTAGCCCGCTTACCAGCCAGCTGCTCCATAACGTCCCTCGCCACCCCCTACACAAATCCCACTATCCCAGAACTCTGGGCCCATGAATTCCCACTCCACCTCCATACAGATGCCGCTCCCTAAGCCACACTTCTTTTACTTCTAGGGACAGCCACACCTCTCGCCTCCCCACAAGCAAGTCTGCACGTGGTGCAAAGACTGCGTGGTTAATGTATCCAGGATGACATCCAGCCCCAAGCACAGCTCACTGGCTCCAGCTATCCCGAACCTGGTTTTGAAATCGTCTTCTCCTGTCCCTACCTTGCTCCAAAGGCCCGATCCTTGCCTTTCTGTTGCTGAGGACGCTGCAGCATTCTAAGTCACTGGCTTCTTCTCAACTCGCAGTCCACACTCACGAGGCCTCAAACCAAGCAGAGCGATTCCGACGCCGACCTAGGACTCAAACCTGCGATGTGGGATATCCCAGTACACCACAAAGCTGGCCCCCACCAAAATACATCTTTCGCTTTCATTTACTACAAACTTTCCAAAGTTTGCTTAACACCCACGTCACATCTACTTGTTCCCTGGGAACAGCCTGTCACTTGCCAGACCCTACTCTTCCTCTCTCCCGTTGACATCCTCCCTTTCCTGTCTCTTACACGCCTCCCGTCACCACTGGCCTGTTCTAACCCGATCTCCACACTGGCTGGCGCTGCATCAGTGGCTTGAATTTGAATCCCCTCCCTCAAGTCCAGACGTCTATGTTCACTTGACACTCACTTTAGCTTTTTCAGGAACATCAGATTCAACTCAGCCAATTATTAGCTCTGGCAGTTACTCACGTAACCGGCTCTGCATCTCAGCTGAGGTCTCCTCAGTCTTTATGTCTTCTCGGGGAGAGGGGGGAGTGATGGGGAAGGGAAGGGAAGATGTGTCCTCCCTTTACAGATTTATTTATTTTTATTGGAAAGTCAGATATACAGAGGAGGAACAGGGACAGAGAGGAAGATCTTCCATCTGATGATTCAGTCCCCAAACGGATGCAACAGGCAGGAGCTGAACCAATCTGAAGCCAGGAACCAGGAACCTCTTCCAGGTCTCCCACGCGGGTGCAGGGTCCCAAAGCTTTGGGTCGTCCTCGACTGCTTTGCCAGGCCACAGGCAGGGAGCTGGAAGGGAAGATGGGCCACCGGGATTAGAACCAGCACCCATATGGGATCCTGGTGTGTTCAAGGCTAGGACTTCAGCTGCTATGCTATTGCGCCGGGCCCCTTGACTTTCCTTCTTTTTTCCCAACAGCCACAACCAAAAATTTTGATGGTCCTACTTTTAAAAACCCAGCAGTCGCAGCATCTCCCGGCTCCACATTCACCAATCTGCTCCAGCCACTTGAGCCAAACTGGTGCAGTATGCACCTCGCTCATCTCACTTCTTCCTTCTTATTCCCACAGTACTTCCTGCACCAGAGAAGGCAAGAGTGGAAAGTTGGGTCACTTCCTCCTTGAGCCACCCATCTCCCACAAGCCCAAGGCCTCAGGCTGCTTCTCCTACAGTACACCCGGTCCCTTGCACTACGACTGCACTGGCCAGAGAAGCCTCGAGACGCCTTGCGCATGTCCAGTGTGGCTTCAAAGGAAGCGCCTGCTCGAGCTGGTACCAATGCTGGGATGCTATTCCACACATCGCATCATTTGCCAGAAGAGAAAAGCCACACAATTACGTGACAGACTCAGGACACACCGCTTTTGGTAACCTCTGGATGCCTTAAACCAAATGGCAGACAGAGGGGTAGTGAGGTCACCTCCGTTTTACAGGGCCAGGACGGAGCTCAGTAAAGGCCAGGTTACTGGGGATCACACACGCCTCTGCAGTTGCAGGGCCCGAGGGACGAGGAGGGCTGCGAGTGGCCGCCAGCCAGCGTGTGGGCTCACCAAATGGCCTGTTCCCTAACGCCCCACCCGACTTTTGGCAAGGACACTTTTACTTGCCCAAGGACAGATTGTTAGGCCTCAGTGCTGCCTCCTACAGGCAAGAATAAGGATCTGCAACTCAGTGTCTTCACCTTCAAGTGGGATAACAGCAAATTGCAACATCTCGGTGGATCAACGGCAAATTGTGTATATGAACTGATGAATTTTTGAAAATATGAACTTATTTTATGTGCTTTTAGAGAAATATAAAGAAATAGTGCTTAAGACTTTTCACTATAATATAAAACTTGCAGGTAAATTAACATTTCAAGCGAGGGTTGGTCCAAGCTTCTTGTTTCCCGTGTTCTCTGCCTTACGATGTTATGATCCACAAAGCCACACGATGAGAAGAGTTTAAATCAAAACTGCACCATATCAGCCTAGTGTAACACCAAGGATCTCAGAACGCTTTATTAGTCTCTGGGCAAGATCGTTTCACACCACGCCTGTGCTATCACAGAGTGTTGGCCAGCTGGCGTAGTTCCTTGACTGCCACTGTTGAGACGAGCGAGAAGCAGAGTGCTGCGGGCTGCCCTTCACGCGCACCGCCGGCGAGCAGCCTGTCCGGGAGACCAGCTCCCAGAGGCCGGTCGTGACCAAAGCTCACATCTCTTCCCCCACGGGGTGCTCTGTGCCCCGAGCGGGGCTCTGACTGCTGGGTAAGATGGGACACAGGGCGCAGCCTGTCTAGAAAGGTTTAAAAGGATAGCCCTTCACTCACAATCACATTTCAGTGGATCAGGAAAGCTTGCTGGGTCAAAACACGCATCGGGGGCCCACACCATGGTGCAGCTTGCTAATACTGTCTGCGGCACCTGCATCTCTTACGGATGCAGGCAGCTCTGCTTCCCATCCAGCTCCCTGTTCGCAGCCTGGGAAAGCAGCTGAGGACGGCCCAAAGCCTTGGGCCTTGGGATCCTGCACCGGCGTGGGAGACCTGAAGGAGGCTCAGGGCTCCTGGCTTCAGATCGGCACAGCTCTGGCCATTGGCAAGATCTTCCTTTGTGTCTGCTGTGTATGACTTTCCAATAAAAACAAAATAAACCTTTAACAAAAAGCAAAGAAAGGATTTATCTGAAAGTCACATGAGCTTCATCGGACCTCCCACGTGGCCAGTGCCCAAGCCCCTGGGCCGTCGGGGCTGCGTTACCAAGGAGCCCCAGGCAGCGCAGCTGGACCCGGAGCCACGGGACGCCGGTTTCAGCCCTCACGTCACAAGGCCGGTCCTTCGAAGCCCGCCCAGGGCCTCGGCCACCCGCTCTGGGCCTGCCGATCGCCTCCCGCCCGGGACGCCCCTCGCCATGCCACCCCGCACCCCGCGAGGGCGGCGCTCCGGGCGCTGGGGCCTGCGCTGCACACATCCGACGGCCGGGGAGCGTCCTGCTGACGGCCCGGGGAGCGTCCTGCTGACGGCCCGGGGAGCGTCCTGCTGACGGCCCGGGGAGCGTCCTGCCCGACCGGGGAGCGTCCTGGCCCGCAGCGCCCTCCACGGCGGCCGCCGCCATGCCAGCCTGCGGACCCCCATGCCACGAGAGGGCCGCCGGGCAGCGACCCCGCGGCGCCGTTACCTGCTGTGGATGGTCCTCGCGGGCGCCTCCACAGCCAGGCCGTCTGCCATAGACACAGCGTCGCCTTCACTCCGTTCTCATCAACTCGGAACCCACTGCACGCCCCCCAGGAGCCCACAAAATGCCCCCTGCGCCCCAGAGATGCCGGAAGTCCCGCCTCGAGGCCGCCTTGGACCCGGAAGCGCGGGGCCTTCTGGGGAGTGTAGTTCGCACCGCGTGGGGGCTTGGAGAGGTGCTGACGCCCCCAGCTCCGAGGCTCCTGCGGCAGGACCGACCTCGGCCTACAGCGCGGAGGACGGAGAGTCCGGCTTGGAGTCCCTGCTGAGTCCCTGCTCCAGGCCCGGCTCTGCTCCCGGTCCCAGCTTCCTGCTCACGCACACCTCAGCGGACAGCAGGTGAAGGCTGGTCACCAACTGGTTTCCCTGTCATCCACGTGGGAGACCCAGGCAGAGTCTGGCTTCAGCTTGCGGGCATTTGTCCAGTGAAAACAGGGACCAAAGGAACTGTTCCTTCCTTTTTTGGGGGGCAGGGGGTATATATTTTTAAAATTATGTATTTTTTAATGTTTTCAAATATTTTATTTTTTCTCATAGTTTTTACTATTATTATTATCATTCTTTTATGATACAATTCCATAGGCCCTGGGATTTCCCTTAGCCCTTCCACATTCCCCTCCCCCTCTCCACTGAGTTATCTATATCATTACTATGGCATAATTCTTCATACAGAGTCATGGCCCAGCACTGCGGGTATGGACAATGGCAGAGAGTCCAGCATCCTGTTGTCAAGATACAGTGAACAGTTTCATTGGAAGTCCCTCTGTGGAACAGAGATGTGTACTGTATTGTATTTTCACATCTGAATATGATGCTCTCCATTACACAGTTACTATACATCCTCTTAAATGAAAAGCCACAATAGAAAATGTAAATGGATTAAGCTCATCAATCAAACATAATAGATTAGTGGATCGGATTACAAACGGAAAACCCACCCTTTTGTTGCCTGAGGAGACATATCTCCCCATCAAAGAGCGGAAACTGTATCTCAAGAATTTTAATTATTTCTTGTTAGTTTTATCTCTTCAATACTCTTCCTCATTAAATTCTTCAGTGACTCATAGATCATGCAGAAGCATCATTTTGTTCAAGAAGGTTCTTGATTTTTCTTGTTCATTTCTTCAGTGACACATTAGTCATTCAGTAGCATGCTATTTAACTTCATGGCATTGTTAATTTTTTTCCTTCCTGTTGATTTTGTAAAACTATTAGGGTACTTCATGGTTATCATCTAAACATTTTAAAATGAATTACTTTGGTCTCAGAGCAGGAGTCTAGTAGCTAAAGTCCTTGCCTTGCATGTGCAAGAACCACATATGGATGCCGGTTCATGTCCCAGTTGCTCCGTTTCCACGAGTTATGCTTGTGGCCTGAGAAAACAATGGAAAATGGCCCAAAGCCTTGGGATCCTGCACCCACATGACACCATAGAAATTCCTTGCTCCTGGCTTCAGATTGGTTCAGTTCAAGCCATTGCAGCCACTTGGGGAGTAAACCAGCAGATGAAAGATCTTTCTCTCTGTATCTCCTTCTCTCTGCTAATCTAGCTTTCTAATAAAAATAAATATTTAAAAAGAAATGAATTACTTCATGTAATCCCGAACCACTATTCTGGTTCTCTACAGAATGAACCTTGAGTGGACCAAGTGTGGCCTCAAAACAAGGATAGCCCATAAATGTCTGAACTCCAGGCAGATCAGGCAACATGAAAAAGTAAATGTTTTAATTCCCCTTAAGAACATAACCTCTAAAAGTTATCAGTATTAATGAAAGGAAAGAAGTTCCGTGTATGTGGAAAATTTAACATTAAAGAACGAGCAATGTTACAAACATTATAAGCATCCCTTACCAACTCATTCAGTTCACATAAGCCGTTCTTGTTTGATTCAGCCTTAGGTTAGCAGTTCCATGAACTGTCAGCTTCCTCAGTGTAGGTCTGAGACTTCTGACTGAGTCCACCACGATGGCTTCGAAATGACTTACACAATGCCACCTTGAGGTTGTTCTGGTCTTCAGCTGATTATAACAACGTTTAGAAAAAGGAATCAAATAAGAGCTGTCTCTGAATGATAAAAAGCGTACCCTGACTGGTTGCATACATGAAGAGTTCATCTGACAGGGGAACTTGATCACGTCTCTGGCAGACAACATTTTCAATTTTCCTGAAACCTTTACAACAGCAGTATTTATTCATGCAACTATAACTGACTTCTTATTTGACATTGCTTTCCATGAAATCCAACATTGCTGATAAAATGGTTTTCTACTTTTTTTTTTTTTTTTTTACAAGCTGGAACAAATACTTTGAGATTATCTGGGGCTCTCAAGATCAGTCTGATACTGACCTGAGATACTGGTTTTGACAAAGAAAATGTGTCAAACTGGAAAACAATCTTAGCTCTTAAAAAGAACAGATTTGTTCATTTATTTGAAATGCAGATTACAGAGAGAAAGAGAGACAGATCTGCCATCTGCTGGTTAGTTTCAAAAATGGCTGCTCTGAAGCCAGGACATGAAGCGCCAGTCCTAAGGAATCCTGGAGCATGCAAGGCGAGGCCCTCAGCCACTGGGCTGCCACGTATCAGCTTAAATCTTGGCTTTCTAAAAACGGAAGTCTTGACGTTAGTGTGATGTCTCATTTGGCTAATCATTCCCCAACCCTACATGGGCACCAGTTTGTGTCCCGGCTGCTCCACTTCCCATCCAGCTCCCTTCTTGCGGCCTGAGAAAGCAGCTGAGGACGGCCCAAAGCCTTGGGACCCTGCACCCGCGGGGGAGACCTGGAAAAGGCTCCTGGCTTTGGATTGGCTCAGCTCCAGCCATTGTGGCCGCTTGCGGAGTGAAAAATCAGATGGAAGATCTTCCTCTCTGTCTCTCCTCTCTGTATATCTGCCTTTCTAATAAAAATAAATAAACCTTAAAAAAAAGAAAAAAAATTATATCAGCAGTGCATTCTATCTCAATGTTCTCAAAATTACTGAAAATTTGGATTCAGTGTTGTCATGATTGCCTGATATTCTCTAGCGAATAATAATATGTAATTTTAGAATATTATCTTTGAGTCATTATTATATCATCTTCCTTTCTAGGCAATCATGTAAGCAATATGAGAGCAGTTATGTTCCGCTGTGTTTCCACGATGCATCCTAATGTACGGGCATGAATTATCTGGCATGAAGCATGAGCCTCCAAACACGAACAATGAGATTTTAAAAATAACAGAATCTTCTGGAGGGAACTGGTTGTCCAAAGACCACACTTAGAAAATTATTTGTTCTCCAGCAGGCAGAACAGAACTGACACACACGAGTGTCCCTGGCAAGGAGCAGAAGGGGGCTGAATGTCGGGAAGGCTGAAGTCATTAGCATGCAGATGACTGACAGCCAGGTCCTTGGGTTCATGATCAGGGTGACCAAAAGAGTCAAAATGGAAGAGAGAGAATAACAAGACACGAAGAGGCTCACGAGGAGGAGGACGGAGCCCATGGCTCTCACTTCATGGGAAGGCCTGGGGCTGAGGCTGCTGCTGTGAAGGCACTGGACTTGCTTTTTGTGCCTGTAGAGGACAACCACCATGGAGCCGCTGGCCCAGACCATGAGGGCCACACATACACCATCAGAGAAAGAGAACAGGGCTGCATGCAGTGTGACGACAAACCCATCTGGAATAGGTGAGCTGCAGTACCCATGGTATTTCTCCATACTTCTGTTTTTGTTCTCCCTCGGACCGGTCACATTCATAGCAATGAAGATATTTAACAGCAGATGCGAGATCCAACAGAAGAGGCAACAAGAGCCAATGTGCTTTGAAGACCTCATGCTGAATTCTAACCACTTGGGGGTGTTGGGGTTGAGCTTTAAGGCCTGGAAGACACTCAAGAAGCAGGTTATGGCCAGGGAAACCCCTCTGGCCACTCGGTGTAAATAAAAGATAAGTTTACATACAGTGTCATCCAGAAAAGATGGTGACCCAAAAGTCGCCATTATGTGTGGAATTCCTTTAAGCAGTACCAAGTTGTTGGCTACCACCAGGTGGCTGAGAATGCAGTCTGTGGGTTTCAACATGTGTCTGTTGATCAAAGGGAGGGTGTAAAGACCAAGAAGCAAGGAGTTTCCAAGGATCCCAACTCCTGTTTGAATAAGGACAATAATACCCACACCCATGTTGGTGCAAACTTTCATCCATCAAATAGGGATATCGATGGGTGATGCCATTTGAGTCAGAAGAACCCCAATACCGTAATAAAGATGTAGGCCACTGATTACAACAACAACAACAACAACAACAACAACAAAATCTGATCATGGAATGATCTTCAACTTGATAAGAATATTTAGCGTGTGAATTTTCTGCGTGGAGTGTTAATGGTTGCAGAAGTGTTTGCAATAACGTGATTGGAAACAAGCCAAGATCAATAAACGAGTGAATGAGGTCATGACCCAACACACACGGGCAGCTTTGACGAGCCACGTCCCCGTGCTTTCCGCACACGCTAGCAAATGAAAAACAAAACCAAAAAAATCAAAACATTTTACGCTTTCTAATAGACTACAATATATTAATCCACTTCTTCCACGTCCCCGTGCTTTCCGCACACGCTAGCAAATGAAAAACAAAAACCAAAAAAATCAGAACATTTTACGCTTTCTAATAGACTACAATATATTTATCCACTTCTTTATGTACATACAATTGTAATTTCAAATAAAATACATTTTAAATGTATAAAAGCAGGTGATTAAGTAGTTTAAACTTTTTATGTGTATTTATTTTAAATACAGGACAACCAAAGATTTAAAAAAGTCTAAACATACAAACAAAACATAAAGAAATAAGCTTCAATGTGTGTTGATTTTATGTTTCCTAGCAGAAAAGGAATTCTATATTTTATGCACAATATTTTGACGGCTCAAATGCTTGGGACCATTCACCTGCAACTGAGACCTGGAAGAAGCTCCTGGCTTCTGGCTTTGGACCTGTCCAGGTCGGGCCACTGTGGCCATTTAGGGAGTGATCTTGTAGATGGAAGATCTTTCTTTGTACCTCCCTTCCTGTAGCTCTGACTTTCAGGTTAAAAATAAATAAAACTTTCTAAAAATCCTCACATTTGGAGCATGACAGACAAGCGAAGGAGGGGCTGGTGCAGGGTCAGTTGGCATCAGTCTGTGTCCCAGCCTGTGGCCTGGGAGGGCAGCGGAGGAGAGCCCAAAGCCCTGCACCCGTGTTGGAGAACAGAAGAAGCCCCTGACTTCGGACTGGCTCTCGGCTCTGGCTGTTGCAGCCTTCTGGGGAGTGAGCCAGAGGATGGAAGATCTCTTTTCCTGCCTTTCAAATAAAAATAAATCTTAATGGAATACAAAAGCAAAGAATTAGGAATGTCACAGCTGGATTCAGAGGGCAATACAAAAACCTCCTGACTGCATTGACTCCCGGTTTTTAAAGTAAACATGATATTGTCTCCTTTTTGTAAACACAGATTGAATAGAATGATTCTACCCAAGTGTCAAATCTGAATATGATTCTACGTATATATTAGAACTATGTGCTTGGACCCGGTGTGGTAGCCTAGCTGCTAAAATCCTCACCTTGCATGCACTGGGATCCCATATGGGCACCGGTTCTAATCCTGGCGGCCCCGCTTCCCTTCCAGCTCCCTGCTTGTGGCCTGGGAAAGCAGTGGAGGACGGCCCGAAGTCTTGGGTCCCTGCACCCACGTGCAAGACCTGGAGGAAGTTCCTGGCTACTGGCTTTGGATGGGCACAGCACCAGCCGTTGCGGTCACTTGGGAAAGTGAATTAGTGGATAGAAGATTTTCCTCTCTGTCTCTCCTCTCTGTATATCTGACTTCCCAATAAAAATAAATAAATCTTTTTTTTTTTAAAAAAAGGACAGAAGATCTTCCTCTTTATCTCTCCTCCTCTCTGTATATCTGACTTTCTAATAAAAATAAAATGTCTTTTAAAAAAAGAGAACTACATGGCATAAAGGATTGAGTGAAAGAATACCATGCATAGTTACTAAGCTGCTCTTCCAGGTCTCCCACGCGGGTGCAGGGACCCGAGGCTTTGTGCCGTCCTCGACTGCTTTCCTGGGCCACAAGCAGGGAGCTGGAGATCTTTTCATATGTCACAGCGGCTTAAGCTGTTGCCTGCGAAGGTGAACCTGTTAACACTCCTGGGAAACAGCGTGCGGTGGCCTGCGGACGAGGGCCCCTGACACCACATTCCTGCCTCGTGGCTCCATCACGGCCAGGACCTTGTTGGTGCAGCTATTTGCAGGACAGAAGCAACAGATAACACACTTTCTCTCTCTCTCTCTGTAATTGTTGCATCTCTATCTTTGTACAGCTTCCTAACCCTCTGACACTTTACATTTCAAATAAATAGATATTTGAATATTATTTTTTAGGCGAGGCAAGTGAACACAACCAATTCAGTTATGTGGATAGTTTTAGGGCAGAGTGTAAGACCCAGTTAATCGGGTTGCTGTCCCCCAACTCTGACCGACTTTATTTGTATTAACACATGGTCACTGCTTCCTGCATTATGCTCAGTTTTCATAAACACAAGGTTCCAGTTAAGACAGAGTAAAGATATTCACACACATGCATTGGGTAGGAGTGGCGTCTGGCCCAGTCTGGCCTCTGCAGTGAAGGTGCAGTGTTCACGTGTTCAAGGGGACACCTCGTTGGTCCTAAGCTAACGCTATTTATTGCTTTCCCATTTTGTTGTCTTTGTATTACCTGGGTCAATATCAGCGGCATTATCACATCTCGCTTCGGCCTTTTGGCCAACATAAAGTGTAGACGTGTTAACACAATGTTACACAACCCAATTCTTGACTTAGTATGAAACGGGAATGAATGATTAGCAGAGAAGAGGAACTATAATCCTAAGTGGTAACTATGCAAATCATAACATTATTTTACCTCCATGTTCTATAGAGTCATCTTTTAAATTAAATTGCTTGTCACGGTGGTGCAGCTAGGAACTCACCTGGGTACTTGTTACATCCTCCGAAGTTGGCAGGAAAGCGTTCTCCCGTCGCTCCGTTAGTGGGGTGTTGGTGGCTGCAAACAGACCAAGCTGCTCCCAGTAATGAGTTTACAAGCCGCGCTGGATCCAAGGCGGCCTCGGAACATCAAAGCACCTTTGCATCTGATTAGATGTCGGGACACGCTGCCATCAGCGGATGGTTTCTATTCCTTAATCCCTGAAACGTAGACAAATCTCGGAAGGAAAAGACAAATGGCACATGTCCCGCAGGTCCAGGACAGCGGTGTTCTCTGCAGCATGTAGTTCAAATCCCAGAACAAAATAAGAATTACATTTACACACAGTACTCTCTGTTTTCCAAACATTCTCATTATTTCTCTTAGAATCTCTTCCTGAAAGGAAGTTCCACTTACCAGAGAGGATGTGAAGCAAATGGCATGGTCACACGGGGTTTGTGCAACAGGAGCTTCTGATCCCTGAGAAATGGGCTTGCGCTGCCATGACCTCAGGCCCGCCTGGGGAATGAGACCATGTCACCCCTAAGTGCAGTGACAGGAGTGTGCATGGGGAGCTGCAGTCAACTCTGCTGGGAAGAGGTGCAGGCTGCGGAGGCACCAGTGGTGTTTAGTACTTCAGAGAGAAAAACAGGCGTGGAGAGCGAGGAGAAAACAACCCGCAGGCATCTGAACACGTGGAACTGACAGACGGGGCAACGGGGCGGGCACTGAGCTGCAGAGGGCTCAGCTGCGCCTGGCATGTCCTTAACTGGGGACTCTGCTCAAGTCCAATCCACTCAACACTGCGCCCCCACCCCCACAGCTTGCCACAGATGCACTTGGAAGGCATATGACAGCAGCCTAAGTACGTGGGCTGTTACTGCCCAGCTGGAAATGGAGGTCTGGGGCTTGGCTGCACTCTGCACTAGCCTGGCTGCCAAAGGCCGATGGGCAATGAGCCAGCTGATACAGGCTTTGTCCCTGACTCACACAAATAACTAAATTTAACAAGCAGTTAAAAAAAAAAAAGATGTTAACCATCTTGGAAGTGGAAAAAAAGGAAGCTTAACGCAGGCGCTGGGATGTGTTTCTGCCTAGCCTCAGACTGTATGTCCCAAACATGATTTTATTTCAAAAGACTATTGAGTGCTCCTGGTTGTCGTTCCGATGACCTTGGATCCTGCAAGGATGGATTTGAGCTTCTTCCATCCCATGTGGTAGATCCAAATGGGGGTGGATGACCTCAGAGTTCTCGGCCTCCGAAGGCACTCTAATTCCCAGTGGTCTCCTTGGCCGTTGGGATGTAGTCCTTAGTGCCCATACTGATAGTCCTTGGTGAGGATCCAGGGGTCTCCAGGGTTGGGATACAAGCCTCCTCCTGTTCATTCACATGGTGGAATTCTTAAAGAAAACCCCAGGGACTCGTGTCACTGCATCAACCACCCTCCTGCCTACTGGTCTGTCTCTGGTCGACTTCATGGTCCACACTCGCGTGTCTGGGAGTGTGTTTCTTCTGGATTACCCAATGTGCTGAGCTTGGATGTTCCCAGGAGTTTGTAGGGTTCTTTGGGTTTCTGGGCATCAGCTGTGAACGGGCTCAATCTTGAAGAGGCTCCGAAAGAAGCCATTACCGGAACATAAACCCTGTGTGGCCGCACCTGTCGGAGGTCACCTAGACAAGTCCTGCAGGCACAGTGGTGGCTGCAAGGGGTGGAGGCAGTGGGGTGCGAGTGTCCTTGTGCAGTGAGAGTCGGGGTTCCGGGTCAGGAGGTGAGCAGGTTTTGAGGGTTGGAGTGTGGGGTGGTTGGGACACGTGAGCTGGCTCCAGTTTGTCTTCCTTTGGTGACACATGAGCAGAGTTTGTGTGTTTCATACAATTCTAAGAAGGTAACCGCATTGCCCTCTCCCAACCCCACAAGCCTCTCCCCGGCTTCAGTTCAGGTCTAAGTTTGGGCTGAATGCACCACTAAGCATAATGTTCACAAATAAAAGCAGGAAGACCATGGTTCCCCAGGAACACGGACACGGGCTGAGAACAATCCCATCAAGGACGACAGGTTCATTTTTGCACTTAAAATTTTATTTTTATTACAAAGGCAGATTTACAGAAAGAGACAGGTCTTATGTCTGCTGTCACTTTTTCCATTTCCGGGGTGTGCGGCGGCTCTTGTG